TCCAACCAAGCATTCCCTAGCAGTTCATCTTGTGTATTCTATTAGCATAACACATACAGAATACAACTTAGTTCGAACTTTAGTCGGTTCATCTTCCCACCATGGCATGTGGCAATGTAAGCGATCTGCCTGTATTGTCTTATGAAAAACGAGACCAGAGAATGGCTTTTTAGAGATAGCAAATTGTTGCAGAAGAAAAACTTGACAGCGATAGAATAAATTATATTCGGAACTCGAAACTTACATTTGTCCAGTCTAAGCTCTTGGACAATGGTATGCCATTGAAAGCTAATAGGCTTGCATAAAGGCGTAAAGGGAATGTTTTTAGTAAATTAACCTGATCGATAAGCATTAAAATGTTAGCATTGAGCTCATTGATGGAATAAATCAACAATTAAAGCGGAAATGTCAGATAATGAGACTCACCCCGGCATACGCTACTAGTTCCGGTAACTTCACAAGGCTTCCCTTGCCTTCTGCATACACACTCGGATTGATCAAAACCAACTTGTCGACCTGACAACGGAAGATCAAAGGTGGGGCTGTTTACAATATGTTCATTGATAATCATGATGATCAAAATTGGAGCAATTCAAAAAGTTGAGTGATTAAATTATAAATTTTTAAAGTTTAGTGACCAAAATAGAAGAGAAAAAATAAGAGGGCTAAATTGAGTTATTTTCTTAAATTGAAGAACCAAATTGAGAGAAAAAAGAGATTTGACCTACTTAACGTGTCACGTCAGCATAAAGTAATGATCCCGTTGGTCAACAACGAAAAACATTAATCAAATGAACACATTAAATCTTTTTTTTCTAAGTTGGAGAGCTACATTAAATGGAAAAAAAATAGAGGACCACATTGATTTTTTTAAAAAGTGTGGAGTACCTCATATACCCTTTTGACTTATAATTATCAATCATCATCGTTAGACCCTTTTTCTTTCTTATTAATAAAATGTCTTCAATTGCAATCAAAACTTTTTTCCCGAGTCAAGCAAAGTTCATTCTTGGCTTTGAAGGTTCCATATTCGCACGCTTCCCCACCAGAAAATTATGCCACAATAATCATGTGGCCTTAATGCACATGTAAATTATTTCTAATAGTAATGACAACAACACCAATATTTTAAAAATACATAATAATAATAATAATATAATTTTTAAATAAAAAAATTATAAATAAAAAAATACGTTAGAAACTAGAAACCGGCAAAGTGCAACTAGAATACCATTTGCTTTTGTTTAATTTCTTAGTTTATGATAAGGAAATTACTGCAAACAATCATATATAATCACGTAATGCAAAATAGTGTATGCTAAAATTATGGAGATGGGGTTTTAGCATAAAAATAGACCTCAATTATTTATACTATAAATGAAAAGATTTATTTATTCAATGATATTATTCGGTGTGATTTTAGTTTGCTATATTTTTTTAAATGGTACGGAGTAATTATAAGGTAAAACTAAGTATATGTGTAGAGTATTTCTTAACTATTAATAACATATATGTATACGCGATTACTCCAATTCGAGATTTTAAAAGACAACAATACTCTTTTCGATCATTAAAATAGATTAATAAATTTTTTGTCTCAAAAGCGCGTTATATATCTTACATATAAATACGTTATTTATGCATAAAACTTGGTCAAAGTCTTAATCCAATTCATTAGCATATTTTTAAAAAATATACATTTTATCATGTTAAAATAATTATTATTATTAAAAAAATGGGTTGCCTGCAGCAATCAAGGAAGGTCTCCATGTTATTCGAGTCCAGAACAGATTATGCCTTGCTGTTAAAAAAGAAGCGCGTTTAGATGCTAATACGGCACCGTTTTCACTTGCCAGCCAATTCCCGTTGACAATTCTGCCCGTTGGCAATCACGTGACGTATTTACCCCCTCGTATAAATATCCCCACTCTGATTCTTCATATAGTCGTGGAAGCGAAACGCCAATCTTCTTCTTCTTCTTCCTCTCTGAAGTCTGAACTCCTTGGTCTCTATTTAGAAAATCATCTTTTTGAGGTAAATTAATACAAAATTATTCCATTTTATTGTCTTTAGAGATACCATCTTTCTTGATTTGATCTAGTTAGCTTCATTTCGTGGGTAGTGTGCTTTTTCTTGCTTCGTTTTCTGCTTCAATTTCCCCCCGAGTGGCGAGTTGTCGGTTCTTTATCTGAGTTTCAATTTTCCTTCTTTTTTACATTGGTTTTCCATGAATTAAAATGGATAGTTTTTTTCTTTTTTAGCTGACATTACTTTGGTTGTTAACTGGCTTAAGGTTTGACTCGTTTTCAGAGGTAGTTCTTGATTTGAGTCTCTATTTGACCAGATTCAAAATAGCTTTCTTTTCCCCCCATGAAGTGATGTAAATAGTTTCAAATTTCGTAAAGCTTGGTTCGACCAAACAGATCTGTGGTTGATCTGTGAAGTATGTAAACATTTTGCTCAATAAACTTGAATGAGAACTTTGAATCCAAGATGATTTTTACGGATCTGAATTCAGTTGTACTGATTTCATTAGTTTCAATTTACATTTTCTGGATCTATCGTTTTACTGATCTGTTAGTTAAAATGTAACTAGAGATAGGCGTCGGTGCTTTGATGCATTGGTCAGATCTGATGGTATATTATTCTCTGGTCATTGTTTTATACATTATTCTCAAGTAATTGTTCATTTTATTATTAGTTCAACGTTTGTATTGTACAGGAGCTATGTCGCTTATTTTCTTATTAGGCTCATAGATGCATACTAGTATCCAACACTTACCTTGAGTCCAAGTAACATAGTTTAGATATGCACTTGAAAAGGTGATGATCAGATGTTGAAATACAACTTGTCATATGGATCTTGTTGTTTTCAAGATGAAATGAATTGTTAAGTTTCTTCTAAGTTTTGGAGTCGGGTGGATCCAGGAATGGTTTTCGCCATTATGTTATTTGAATAGTTGTTTCTCTTTTTTTAGGTTGTAGTATACAAAGAAAATGAAGATTTGTTGCATTGGAGCTGGTTATGTTGGTGGGCCGACGATGGCTGTGATCGCACTTAAATGTCCGGATATTGAAGTGGCTGTTGTCGATATCTCTGTGCCTCGGATTACTGCCTGGAACAGTGACCAACTCCCTATCTATGAGCCTGGTCTTGAAGATGTTGTCAAACAATGTCGTGGAAAAAATCTTTTCTTCAGCACCGATGTAGAGAAACATGTGCATGAGGCTGATATCGTCTTTGTTTCTGTCAACACTCCCACCAAGACTCGGGGCCTAGGAGCTGGCAAAGCTGCAGACCTTACATATTGGGAAAGTGCTGCCCGCATGATTGCGGACGTATCGAAATCTGACAAGATTGTCGTTGAGAAATCGACAGTCCCTGTCAAAACTGCGGAGGCAATTGAAAAGATTCTCACCCACAACAGCAAGGGAATCAAATTCCAAATCCTTTCGAACCCAGAATTTCTTGCTGAAGGAACTGCAATTCAAGATCTTTTCAACCCCGATCGTGTTCTTATTGGAGGGCGGGAAACCCTAGAAGGCAATAAGGCTGTCCAAGCATTGAAGGCTGTTTATGCTCATTGGGTCCCTGAGGAGAGAATTCTTACCACCAATCTTTGGTCTGCAGAGCTTTCCAAGCTTGCTGCCAATGCTTTCTTGGCTCAGAGGATCTCATCCGTAAATGCCATGTCTTCTCTTTGTGAGGCAACTGGGGCTGATGTTACGCAGGTCTCCTATGCTGTTGGTAAGGACACGAGGATTGGGCCCAAATTTTTGAATGCTAGTGTTGGTTTCGGTGGATCCTGCTTTCAGAAGGATATTCTAAATCTGGTTTACATCTGTGAGTGCAATGGCCTTCCTGAGGTGGCAGAGTACTGGAAGCAAGTCATTAAAATCAACGACTATCAGAAAAACCGATTTGTTAACCGTGTTGTATCATCAATGTTCAACACTGTTTCAAACAAGAAGATTGCTATTCTAGGGTTTGCCTTTAAGAAGGATACCGGTGATACTAGGGAAACCCCTGCCATTGATGTATGCAAAGGACTTTTGGGAGACAAAGCTCGGTTGAGCATATATGATCCGCAGGTCACTGAGGACCAGGTCCAACGGGATCTTTCCATGAAGAAGTTTGACTGGGACCATCCTCTCCACTTGCAACCCATGAGCCCTGCAACTGTTAAGCAGGTCAGTTGTGTCTGGGATGCTTATGAGGCAACCAAGGGTGCTCATGGTATTTGCATTCTGACAGAGTGGGATGAATTTAAGCAACTCGACTTCAAGAGGATATACGACAACATGCAGAAGCCGGCTTTTGTTTTCGATGGAAGGAACATCATGAACGTGGAACAGCTGAGGGAGATCGGTTTCATAGTTTACTCGATCGGTAAGCCACTGGATGCATGGCTCAAGGACATGCCTGCAGTAGCATAAGTGCCATGCACAGGTTGAATGCTTATGATGGATACAAAACGATTACAGTTCGAGTTCAATTCTTTCCGGTTGATTTTTTTGATGACGAGTTGTGTTGTACCTTGTTTCCTCCATAGTAAGTCGAGCATAATAGGAATTTTACCATCATGACGAAGATAAAAGGAAGGCTATGTGTTATGCCTCCAATTCTTGTTGTTTGTTAGGGAACACACGTTCTTGTTCGATTTGAACTTCTTCCATTCGTAGATTTTGAAATTGCATTATCGATTTTCCTCTTTAATGGAATACTTCAATTCTTGGTATTATTCGTTGTTTTCTTTCAATTATGTTGAGGGATCAATTAAAATTCTATGAGATTAACTTATAATATTAATAACGTGATTTATTATCCTTAATTACTTGTTAAGGGAATTAGCTGTAACTAAATTACTTACTCTCTTTGAGAGATCACTAAGATGTCTTTTTACCCTAGTGAAATGTTGAGCAGAAGATTCATGCAAAACACATAGCTAGTGAAGGTAAAGAAATGGTAGACTCATATGTGGCATTAGAAGATGAAAGTAATGGTTGTTGTGCAGTTGAAGATAAATGAGAATCCCATGGTTTTGGATGATCGTGGAAGAGACTATGAACATTCGAATCTCGAGTTTTCTCAACACTTAGCTGGTGGGGTAACAGAGCCTACATTAGATGTGGAGTTTACTTCGGAGGATGATGCTAGGAATTTTTACAATGTTTATGCTTGCAGTGAAATTAAAGCAAGACAATTGATGCAGGGGGATCCGAGACAGATGATGATGAGCTGTCAGATTGCACATTGATGGCGTTGAGATACCATGAGTTGGCAGATCAGCGCAAAGGCGGGAGTTGAGTGTGATATGTTACTCATTTGGGCCGTTTTGAGTGCGTTTCAGTCTTTTGGCCATAACTTTGGCTACGGGTGTCGGAATCGCGCATAAGACCTCAATTCGGAAAGCCCCTTTCGACGCGCACGCTGTCCACATCGAGCATTACTCCATATGGCCTTTTTTCGACCTCAAATTCTGTCGTTTTCCCCTTCAAATCACTAGTTTTATTTATTTTTTACTATTTATGGTAATATTTCGCTTGTCAATTATGAAGTCATTTTAAATCCGATTTGGGCCCGATTTTTTTGCAGATTGCTTAATTTATTTCGAATTTCAATTTAGAGTGATTTCCGAGATTTTGCTATTTTTGGCAAAATTCGGATAAAGACGATTTTTTGCTATAACAGTCCGGCTTGTGGACTGATTTTCGCATTGTTTTTGATTTTATATTATTCTATTAAACCCTAGAGATATTTTCTCTGCGTTTTTGGGTGAATTTTCTCATGTGAATCATCTGTTGGAACTAGCCTGCAGGATAATCGATATTCTGTCCCGCGTCAGTTGGTATCAGAGCTTCAACATCTTTCTGGGAAATTTCACCAGTTTCAATGGCTGGAGGTCGTGGTCGTCGTGAGCAGGTTCCGAATGAGGAAGCCCAACGCCGTGATCGCAACGTTCAGGATGCGATGATTGCGGATTTGCAGAGACAAGTCGCAGAATTAACCCAGCGCCTGGCGGCACAAGATTTCGAGGATCGTGAGGCCTCTGATCACGATACTAATTCCACTTTCGAAAACCCGTATCACAATCGTGCTCTATTCCGGGAGCACTGTGGTCGGGAGGAGCATCATAGAGACCTCGGTTTTTTGGTCGATCTTCTTGAGTTTTCTGGTACGTTACAAGCCGAGGGATTTATGGATTGGATTAATGAAGTGGAGCATATTTTTGATTATAAGGAAGTCCTCGATCGTGTGAAAGTGAAACTGATCGCCATCAAACTCAAGGGCAGAGCATCTGCGTGGTGGGAGCAGTTGCGACGTTCACGAGACAGATAGGGCAAGGCCAAGATCACTGATTGGGAGAAGATGAAGAAGAAGATAAAAGGTCACTTCCTTTCCTTCGGCTACACGCAATCCTTGTTTCAGTGACTTCATGCATTGAGGTAGGGCGCACGATCAGTCGATGATTACACGGAGGAGTTTTACCAATTGGTCGCTCGAAACGATTTATCTGAGACGGAGGAGCAGATGGTGGTGCGGTATGTGGGGGGTTTACGCCAACCCTTGCAAGATGTCCTCAGCCTTCATTCACTATGGAGTGTTTCGGAAGCTTACCAGCGTGCACTTGCTGTTGAAAAACAACAAAACAGGAGACCAGTGATCAGGAGCAATCACAACAGTCGGCCAGTTCGCCCTCAGGATTCCCGTCCTGCTCAGCAGCCACCGCAGGGTAATTATAACCCTAATATTAGATATTTTCGTTGTGGTGAACAAGGGCATAGGGCGACTGATTGCAGGAAGACTGCTACTCAAAAAGGGCAAAATTTTGTTGATTGAGGAAAACGCGGAATACGAGACTGAGGAGATTGGCGAACTCGTGTATGACGATGATGAGACTGATGATGTGTTGTATGGAGATGGTCATGAGACTCTGGTCGTTCGCAAGAGTTTACTGACTCCTAAGGGCGATTTAGGGGACGATTGGTTGAGAACCAATATTTTCCACACAACCTGCACAGTTGCAGATAAAGTCTGCAAAATGATCATTGACAGCGGCAGTTGTGAGAATGTAGTATCCGAGGAGGTTGTCCAGAAATTGCAGTTGAAGACGGACCATTATCCTAATCCATACAAGTTTTCATGGCTAAATAAAGGAAGTGAGGTAACAGTTGATAGGCGATGCCTCGTGTCTTTTTCAATTAGTATAAAATATTTTGATAATGCCTGGTGTGATGTAGTGTCTATGGATGCGTGTCATATATTGTTGGGTCGACCTTGGCAGTATGATCGCAGTGTCATTCATGATGTACGGAAGAATACATATTCCCTTAGCATCAAGGGAAAAAAGATTGTGTTGGCACCCTGGCGGGAAGGACTCACTCCTACCCCGGTAACCAATAATACTAACTTGATTTCTATGTCCAGGTTTTTAGATGAGATTGAGCATGGAGGCGTGGTCTATGCCTTACTACCTTACGAGAATAGTGCAGTAGACGTGGATACATATTTACCAGTAGAGGTGCAGAGGCTGCTAGCATAAATCTCTAACTTGATGTCAGAGGATCTTCCTCCTGGACTATCTCCTATGAGGGATATTCAACATCAAATTGACCTTGTTCCTGGGTTAAGTTTGCCAAATCGACCAGCATATCGCCTCAGTCCCAAGGAGGCTGAAGAGTTGCAGCGACATGTGGAAGAGTTGTTGGAGAGGGGCTATATCTGAGAGAGTATGATCCCATGTGTAGTCCCTGCTCTGCTAGTACCAAAGAAAGATGGTTCTTGGCGTATGTGTGTTGACAGCCAAGCGATCAACAGAATTACAGTGAAGTACCGGTTTCTAATTCCCCGTCTAGATGATATGTTGGATCAGCTATCCGATTCTAAGGTCTTCTCAAAAATTGACCTTAAAAGCGGATACCACCAAATCAGAATAAGACATGGAGATGAGTGGAAGACGGCGTTTAAAATTCCAAAAGGGTTGTATGAGTGGATGGTCATGCCTTTTGGGTTATCCAATACACCCAGTACATTCATGGGATTTATGCATCAGGTCTTGCGACCTTTTATGGGGAAATTTGTTGTAGTTTACTTCGATGATATCCTCGTTTATAGTCCGACATGGGCTTCACACTTCGATCACCTCCGTGCTGTTTTTGAGATGCTGTAAAAGGAATGCTTGTTTGTCAATCAGAAGAAGTGTTATTTCTTTACTACTTCTGTGACTTTTCTTTGTTTTGTTGTGTCTACTGATGGTGTTCATGCAGATCAGTCAAAGATAGATGCAGTCTTGGAGTGGCCCAGACCAAGGACCTTACATGACATCCGAAGTTTCCATGGATTGGCATCTTTCTACCGCCAGTTCATTAGAAATTTCAATACTCTGATTGCCCCTATCACAGAGTGCCTCAAGGGGCGTGATTTCCAGTGGTCTGAGGAGGCAGAGGCCAGTTTTCAACTGGTCAAGCAGAAGATGACCGAGGTACCAGTTTTGGCACTTCCTGATTTTGACAAAGTGTTCTAAGTAAATTGTGATGCATCCGGCGTTGGCATTGGTGGTGTTCTTAGTCAGATAGGTCGTCCGATTGCTTTTTTCAGTGAGAAGCTATTGGGATCAAAGGAAAATTATTCCACTTATGATCTAGAGTTCTATGCCATAGTTCAGTCCCTGAAGCATTGGCGTCACTACCTAGTACAGAAGAAGTTTATTCTATTTACCGATCATGAGGCCTTGAAGTACATCAATGGCCAATACAAGCTAAGTAGACGTCATGCCAAGTGGGTGGCATACTTGCAAGAATTCACTTTTACGCTGAGACACCAAGCAGGGAGTTTGAACCGCGTCGTAGATGCCCTGAGCCGTCGTACCTTACTCCTCACCACCATCAGTACCAAAGTTGTAGGCTTTGAGACGTTCACAGATATGTATGTAGCTGATCCTTTCTTTGGAAGGATATTTCAGGAGGTAACTGAGGGTCACCGTCATGATTTTGTTTTGCATAATGGGTATTTGTTTCGTGGATTACAGTTGTGCATTCCAGATTATTCATTGAGGTAGCAAATTATAAGTGAACTTCATAATGAGGGACATTTTGGCCGAGATAAGACCTTGGCCCTTATCTCTTCTTATTTTTATTGGCCCAAGTTGACTAGTGATGTGGCCCATTATGTGGACCGTTGTTATGTGTGCCAGTGGTCTGAGGTAGTTCTCACCAATGCGTGCTTGTACACTCCCTTACCTGTCCCTGAAGCTCTTTGGTTCGATGTCAGCATGGATTTTGTATTAGGCTTACCCCGCACCCAAAGGGCCTCGTATTCTATCTTTGTTGTGGTTGACAGGTTTTCCAAGATGGCCCATTTTGTAGCTTGTAGAAAAACTATGGATGTTGATCGGATTGCCCATCTTTATTTCGAGGAGATTGTGCGTTTACATGGTGTTCCTCGATCCATCACTTCAGATCATGATACTAAGTTCATCAGTCATTTTTGGAAGAGCCTGTGGGGGAAACTGGGAACGCAGTTGAATTTTAGTAGTGCCTACCACCCCCAGACGGATGGCCAGACCGAGGTGGTGAACCGAAGCTTAGGTAACCTTTTGAGGTGTTTGGTAGGAACGAAGCCCAAGAAGTGGGATTTGGCATTGCCTCAAGAAGAATTTGCCTACAACAGATCAAAAAATAGATCCACAGGTTTAAGCCCATTTGAAATTGTCTATGGTAAGAACCCATCCGGGGTGCTGGACTTAGCCCCTATTCCACGTATAGGACGTTTCAGTCCTAAAGCATATGAGATGGCAAAGTATCTTCGGGGTATCCATGAGCAGGTGAAGCAGACCATTCATAAGAGCAATACCAAGTACAAGACTCGGGTTGACAGTCATCGTCGTCAGGTACTTTTTGATGTTGGTGATTTTGTTTGGGCTGTATTAACTCGTGATCGTTTTCCTACTGGCGAGTATAATAAGTTTAAGGATCGGAAGATTGGACCTTATGAGGTCGTGCAGAAGATCAATGATAATGCTTACAGGTTGCACCTTCTTAGTCATTTAAAGACTTATGATGTCTTTAATGTGAAGCACCTAAGTCCTTGTTTGTGGATTGTGATGACACTACTATGAACTCGAGGACGAGTTCTTTCCAACCCAGGGTGACTGATGCAGGGGGATCCGAGACAAATGATGCTGAGCTGTCAGATTGCACATTGATGGCGCTGAGATACCATGAGTTGGCAGATCAGCGCAAAGGCGGGAGTTGAGTGTGATATATTACTCATTAGGGCCGTTTTGAGTGTGTTTCAGTCTTTTTGCCATAACTTTGGCTACGGGTGTCGGAATCGCGTATAAGACCCCAATTCAAAAAGCCCCTTTCAACACGCACGCTGTCCACATCGAGCATGGCTCTATGTGGCCTTTTTTCGACCTCAAATTCTATCGTTTTCCCTTCCGAATCAGTAGTTTTATTTATTTTTTACTTAATATTTCGCTTGTCAGTTAGGAAGTCATTTTAAATACGATTTGGGCTGGATTTTTTGCAGATTGCTTAATTTATTTCGAATTTCAATTTAGAGTGATTTCCAAGATTTTGCTATTTTTGAAAAAATTCGGATAAAGACGATTTTTGGCTATAGTAGTCCGTCTTGTGGACTGATTTTCGCATTGTTTTTCATTTTATATTATTCTATTAAACCCTAGAGACATTTTCTCTGATTTTTTGGGTGAATTTTCTCCTGTGAATCATCTGTTGGAACTAGCCTGCAGGATAATCGTTATTCTGTCATGCGTCAACAATGGATTAACAAAGACGTATGAGGTAACAAGATTCGACGAAGAACATAAAGTTTATCTGGTAGGATTAAATATAGCCGACTAGATAGCTAGTTGCAGTTGCAAGATGTTCGAGTTTGAAGGGATCCTTTGCAGACATGTGATTGTTGTGTTCAAAGCAACCAAGATCTTCCTGCTTCATCAACATTATATTCTAAAGCTATGGACTAAAAATTGCAGAGGAGGAGGCCAAGTTCAATGCTTTACCATCCGTTGAGACGCATGGCGATTCTCGGGTGGGGAAGAAAATAATTGTCGGTGATAAAAAAATGCCTTAATACCTTGTAATTCATTTTTCCATTCTCATGGGAGAGAATAATAAAACTACAAGACATTTACTCTAAATTCTCTCGTCCCTTTTTGTTGTTCTAATTTTCTTTGTGTTTGTAGCCTCTCTAGATGGCTAAGAGTACCTCCTGTGGTGTTTACACTTCTACACGAGTGTTCAATTTTTGTGGCTTGAGTAGCCACGTTGTGTTAAAGCTTTTGCATCCATCGAAACCTTGAGGGCTTGGTGCTAGCCTCTGTTAAGTTTTTGTGCTCATAAGACGTGGTGTAAAGCTTACTTAGGCGTAGAACCGACGAAGTACTGTTAAGAATTGTCTAAGACCGCACGTTTTGGAGGTTCAAAGATGTGACAACCACACGTTTCCGAGTTTAATTACTTTCGTACCTGTTTGTTGTATGATTAATATACCATATTGGCATGTATGTAATAACATTCTTTCAAATAAAAAATAATAGCTCCACGATGATCGAATATCAAGATCCAACGGTTCTGATGTTGCATGGAAAACAATAGGTTTAGGGTTGACTTTCATTATTATTTTTTTGGAGGAAAAAAAGTGAAAAAGACTGGAATATTTCCAAATTCCATAGCTCCACGAGAACAAGGCAACAAAAGGAATCATTGGCCATAGATTTAGAGTACTCCGAGACACACTCGTTTTATAGATTTATTATTTGATCTCTTCTTCATTCTTGATTTATTGATTTGATCTAATAATATAACAATTACAAAGCATCCCAGACCTCTATTCGTCATGAATTAGCAGACTTTTCTGCCTTGGTTCTGCCTTGGGTTTGTTTCAATTCGTCAGTTCAGTTGTTTATAATTCCATTGTTAAATTTCTTGGATTTTAATTGTTTTTCTGATGTTTGGCAAGAAAACGTTTTCCTGGAAAACTCATCTTTGAGTGCAGCAGCCAACATTTTATGTTTTTGCCTGCTTCTTTGGATAAATGCATCGATTTCTATACTTCTGAACACTATTCTGCCACATATGCACATCTATGTTATCTGTATTCGAGTTTTTCAATTACTTCGAGGATTATTTGAGATTCATTTCCATGTATAAATTAGATACCAATAATTTAAGAAAAATGAAGAGTTGGAAACAACATAGATGCAAACTAGTACAGATAATTATTTTCTCAATATTTTCCCATCTACATGGTGTTTCCTTGGTGTAGTACCTGATTTCGGTTTGACAATTGATGTTTATGTGGACTTAATGTTTCGGTAACATCTCTATAGATCAACGACGAGGAGGCTAAGGGTGGATGAGAGCGAGAACTTGACCCTCGAGGCAGTGAGGAACTCTTTAATTCTACAAGAGGACAGCATAATATTTAGCCTTCTAGAGAGAGCACAATATTGTCATAATGAGAATACATATGACCCTGATGCCTTTTCATTGGAGGGGTTCCATGGCTCTTTGGTGGAGTACCTGCTTCGAGAAACCGAAATGCTTCATGCCCAAGTATGTCAGACTCAATAAGCATAGAGAGAAAGGGAATAGGTGTAGCAAAATCCACGCTGCTTTGCTGATAAACCCTTTCATTGTCCATTAGGTTGGCAGATACATGAGCCCAGACAAGCATCCATTCTTCCCATACGAATTACCGGACCCCTTGTTGCCACCTTTGAAATACCCTCAGGTAAAATGATAGGAGGCATTACGTATTATCGCTATTTTGCTGTGGCATTGGACTTATGTTCATTGCCACCTTTGTCCGCATTCTCACTAATACATGAAGTATTCTGTTAATTGTGTGTTTTATCAGAACTTTTAAGCATTCGTCACTGCCATCACTCTAGTTGTAAAGAATGGAGTACGTTAGGTCGGTCTTAGATTCACATCTGAAAAGCGTAAAATGATATCAGGGGAAAATATAGTCATCGGCTGGGAAATTGGTATTAAGTAGCCTCTTGAAGGACTTGTGGAGTACTTCCTTCTCTATGACCCGTCTTCCTCGTTAATTTAAGTATCGGATAGAAATGTGTCCGATATAGGCATGTTTGATATTTTCTGAAGTTTTTTCCATATTTGGAGGGTCGTGTCTCATACTCGTTTTTTGAATATGCGTCAAATGCAGGTACTTTTAGACCAACAGATCTCTTCATACTATCTTTAGGTGATGAATGATGCTCTTTATGGCATCATGAGAACATAAGATTTAAATTGTTATGTTGAGTAATGGTACTGAATGGCATTCTATTCGAAGAATTTAATCCTCTGCACATGGTCTGTATCTCTCTTTGTCCGTAATATTTATGTATTTTTTAGACATTCAGATTTTTCCACTGTTGAGTGCTCGGTTTTTAACTTCTTACTGAAGCCTTTCTTTCTGAAAATCAAACAGGTAATAAATCCCATTGCTGATACAATCAATATAAATCCGAAAGTGTGGCAAATGTACTTCACAAATATTATTCCGAGATTAGCAAAGGAAGGAGATGACGGCAATTGTGGATCTACCGCCGTTTGTGACACCATGTGTTTGCAGGTAAATATTTAAGACAAGTCTCACGTGCATTTCCGATTGGTTTTCAGGGCATGCGTAGATAGATACCTGTTGTTCCGATTGGTGGTTGTATGGGTACAACATGATGTTCGGGAAACCACTGGATGCTTAACATTTATGTGTCATTCCAGGCTCTTTCGAAGAGAATTCATTACGGAAAATTCGTAGCAGAATGTAAATTCCGGACATCTCCCGATGCTTATCAAGCTGCCATTAGAGAACAGGTATTGTTTATGACATGAGTTTTCTTTCCCAGACTCGTTCATCGAAGCATTTATCGGATTGCGTTCACATTATTTGTTCTTCCAAATTTGCAGGACAGGGATTTGCTGATGAAGTTGCTGACATCCCCCTTGGTCGAAGAATCGATAAAGAAAAGAGTAGAAATGAAAACTAGAACATACGGACAAGTAGTGCAGGGTGATATACGCAAAAACGACCTCGACCCGGTATACAAAATAAACCCGAGCTTGGTAGCCGACTTATACGGCGACTGGATCATGCCATTGATGAAGGAAGTCCAAGTCGAGTACCTGATGAGAAGGTTAAACTGATCGGAAGGTATTTAATCTTAGCTGTTATGATGAAACAGAAGTATGTGAGAATGGATTGGGGATCAATGTTTATAGGTAATCAAGTTCTCATTGATGCCATACTGCTGATGTTGTACATTGAAATGTTTTTATAATGATACAGTTATTGGATATTGCTATAATAATGATGAAAGATTATAGGATAATCTAAGTATTTAATACCTAAACTATCATTTTATTTCGTTTTAGTACCTAAACTTTCAATTCTTTCAAAATCATACCTAACGTTTAGTTTTCGTTTCATTGTAGTATCATGACGTTAACAACTTAATGTGTTTAATGCTTAAACAATCAGTTTTGGTGTTAGTACCTAAACTTTCATTTTTTTTAAAAAACTTAATGTTAAATTTTGAACATGGGTACGGATAATGAAACAAAAACTAAATTTTAGATATGATTTTGAAAAATTAAAAATTTAGGTACTAAAACCGATAGTTTAGGTACTAAATACATAAATTTACCCAAGATTATATGATACCCGAATCGTACGATCTATGTAAATTTTAGTTTATACAAGTCTATCTATTTTACCGATTTCGGGATTTATATTTAAATTTTGGGGGTTTTAAAACCCTTTTATCGAATTTTGATCGGGTTGATTTTGAACAATTAAGAGATGGAATTCTCTTATGGTATGTCATTATGGCTAAAGAAATTGCAGGTTTAATGATCCTCCCTTAAGTATGATGATCCTATACCCTTAATAATTATGAACACATGGGAGAGGACAATTTGATTTTTATTCTTTTGATATTCTTGGGCAAATTTATTCAATCAATCATAATGGTCCCTGACCTAGGGACCATTGTCACCTACATGGAATAATTCATACACCCCACTCCGGATTTGATGATGACCTGGATTTTTATTTTTAAGTACAACTAGGAGGGGTCATTCATGCTCGTTTTAATTGTTGTAAATATTAAATCTTTGTCTTTCTAAGAATACTATTTTAAAAATAAAATGATAGATCTAAAAGAAAATTATATTTCTTTATGTGACGCAGAACATTATTTCTGTCATTATCAGTAAATATGTTTTCAAGAAAAATGCTTAAGTTAATTTCAGAAAATGGAAAATAAATAATTATATGATAATATTTTTGATTTTTTTTTAGAAAAATTATAATACTCGTGATTAATTTTTCAGAATAAAATATATATTTTTTAAAATTAAATCAAATAATTCTTTCTTTTTTTTGAATTAATCACTGGTATTCGATCTATTGATCGACTAATCTAGATCGGGTACTGCAGAGGCGATGACAACTCTCTCAACCCAGTTTGCTCTATTCATAAATATCAGGGTTCAAACCCCTGACTTTAATTAAAGAACCTAATATCTCATCCCACTAGAATAACAACCAACTTATTGTTGGTAAATCGAATAATTCTTTTTCTGAATAAATTACAGAAAACAGTGGTAATCGAAACTCCAAAAGGGGTCAAAGTCAAACTGTCAGCTCCGGTGAAGTAATTTATTCAGTGAGATCCTCCAAAAAGCGTAAAAAGTAAAGGATAAACTATACTATATTTCTGTGAACTATGCAAATATTATATTTCGGACGATTGTCTTTTAAATGTTATAAAATTGTCATTAATTTTCTTAAAGGATTATAAAATGATCCTCTGTGATGTTAGAATAGCAATAAATCATGATGAGTTTTCGGATAATTTTGTAATGGTTTGATAAATTTAAAGACTATTTGGTAATAGTTTGATAAATTTTAATGATCATTATGCAACTGTTTAATAAATTTAATAATTATTTTTTTACAATATTTGAAAGATCGTTAACTGAAATAAGTTTTTTATAACGGAAAAGGTAAAAACCTAAAAAAATAGTTCCTAAATATTTATATATAAATTAAAATCTACACGATTTATATATTAAATAGACACTTTAAAATAAAATTAAATACTAAATTATACTCAAAATCAATAATACATGTCTAAAGATTTTTCGCTCTTGTCTATTTTTTTCGTTATATTTTTAGGCGTTTAATATTAAATTTTATCGTTAAATGACACGTGTCACATTTATAAATTTTTTATTTAAATTAAAAAATATATAATTATACTTTATAAAGTTATAAAAAGAAACCCTAAAATCCCTAAAATATATAACTTCGTCATCCTTCCTCGTTGGCCTCCACCACCAGCGTTGATATGTTCATCGCCGTCAACCAAAGACTCATCAGTTGAAACCCTTTACTTTTTCCCGCAACATTGCTATCGAAATCTTTAAATCTTAATACTTAAATCCTTAAATCCCTAAATACCGGCATCAAATTTCGAAATCCCAGTCAATATTTATACATGGAGAAGGTAGTTGCGGCAGGAGATTGGGGAAGTGGAGGCACGAAACGAGGGAATTTAGGGATTTTTTTTTAATCTTAGGGCTTATGTTGATATTTTCGAATCATTTGAGTTTCTTTGAAAATAATAATTTTATTTTTAAATAAAAAAATTCAAAAAGAGAGAGGGAGAAATATATCAGTTAGGGGCAGAATTTAACGACCATTACAATTCAGACACTTAAAAGTGTATTAAATAAAACGCTTGACACCAATTTTTTAACGAAAAAAAGTTTAGTTACCAAAAACCAATTTTAAATATAGTTTAAATATTTATTTTTTATGTTAAGCATAAATAAACTTTTAAATAATAAAAGTCCAATCGAAATAAACCTAAACTGAAAATCTATATATAATACATAGTGGCAACTCAAATTTTTATCAATACAGACAAGATGAAATAATAAATTTAATAAATAAAAAACAAAAAAGACAGAACAGCATGAAATGCTGAAGTTTTGTCTATAACACAAATGACTAAGCAAAAAAAATCAATGAAGTTTGAAGCAGAAGAAAAAACTGTGAATTTGTGAAACATAAAATAAGGGGGGTTTTTTGTTAATACACTAAATACTGATTTTGTGAATAAAACAATTATTTTTATAATATTTGATTTAAATTAATTTAAAAATAAAACTTTTGTTTAACCCATGTTACTCAATCCAGATTTTAAAAATAATATTCTGAACCGGTTGTGGATCCAGAAACTGCCCCAACCCTAAAAAAAAGTTGTTTTTTTCTCTTTTTATTGGTAACCATTAGCTGGCTATTTTCCTATAAACCCATAACCAGGAGCAATTCCAAAGCCAATTCAGAGCAGGCCAAAAGAAAAACAAACTCAGCAATGGAGAGAAGCAAAGTGATGAAGATGACAATGGCAGCACTGGGATTAGCTTTAGTGTTAATGGTTCAACAGGCCGATGCTACAAGGTACATTGTGGGAGGGGGAGGCATTGGTTGGACCACTAATGTCAATTACACTGTATGGGCTAAAGGAAAGCAGTTCTACAATGGCGACTGGCTCTGTAACTTGTTATCTCTTAATCTTTCTTTAGATCTACTCTACACTATTCTTTTCTTTCCTTTTCTGGTTATCGCCGTTTTACCTTCTTTTACGGTTGATAAATTGATAGATCTGGACATGGGTTGTTTTCAAATGAATTGTTAATCTCAAATCTTGAATTTTTGTCTTTGTTTCCATGGAAAGTTATAGTTTACATGCTAGTTTTAGAATATTCTTAACTTTTTTTTAATCTTTTTTATCACTTTGTTGCAGTTGAACTAAGAAAAGAGAATGATTTAATATAGGTTTATAAGAACGGAGTTTCTAATTGTGCTTTTTATGTGTTTATTGGTCTCAAAATTGATGTTAAAGTTCATATTTTTGCTGGCCCAGAAAATGCAGAAATATGAAGGAAGGTGGGAAAGTTTAACTTTGGTCTGGAAATTTTAGTTTGGTTGCTTCTGCAGTTGAGATTCATAGTTCATGTTTATGCACAATGAAATCACCTTGGTCTTCAAAACCATCTAACAAGCCTCTCTAAGCACTGGATACATGTTATTCCAAATCTTCATTTTTCTTGAAGTATTCGTATCCGAGTTCGAGTAACCAGTAACTAATTTCATGTCTGACACATATTCGAATATGGATCTAAATAAGTTACTGCAGATCCTGTTTGAGTTACAGTTGATCGAAGATTTAGTTTTTTAAGAGAAGTGACTGATACCTGATAGTTAACTATGCATCTGATTGTTCGTGTTTGTTTATTTCCCAGTTTTCGTATACGATCGGAACCAGATGAACGTGCTAGAGGTGAACAAGACGGACTACGAGTCGTGCAACTCTGATCATCCACTTCACAACTGGACAACCGGAGCAGGAAGGGATGTGGTTCCGCTTAACGTGACTCGCCATTACTATTTCATTAGCGGCAAAGGGTTCTGCTACGGAGGCATGAAGCTAGCAGTCCGTGTCGAGACCCCGCCTCCACCTCCTAAGGCTGCTCCGTTGGACGAAAAGAGTGGCTCCTCACCGAGTACCGCTGTCTACAGGGGCCAGCTTGTTATACCGGCTGCTCTCGCCATTGCTGCAGTGTGGGATGCATTTGTTCGAATCTGGTAGTTTCGGAAATGAGATCGAACTCAAGATAATTCCTTCATCAATTGTGAAACCGAATCGAAACGATTCGTATTCCATTTCTTCTTAAATTATTGGTGTGTTTTTTCATTTCTTTTTTGTTCCAAAATAGTTGACATGGAACCAGCTTTAGGAGGCGTTTGAACTTTGAAAATAGTTGCCTCCTTTGTTGGAGAAATTATTGTTTGAATTTGTGGAAAAATGCAATGTTATTTAGTTTTTTCATCAATTCTTCAAATAGTTGCCTCTTTTATATTTCGAATTCGAGTTTTGTCAAGCACAAATATGAAAATTTTGAAATAATTATAAGATAGTATCAATTCAAAAAAAAAAAGTCTACCGATGACGGCACGACGCACACATCTTGAATCTTGACGGAACTGCTTAAATTCAAATCTTTTAATAAAAATATCTTTTTTTTAACACTAAAATCACTCGATATTCTATATGATTCCGGACATAAATGTTCGAACATTGGGTTCCAAAGTTGTGCATGTGGTTAGGTCACTTTCTGTTGATGTTTTGTCTGGTCCTGAAAATAGGGCACTGATTTCGGAACCATTTTCTTCTTTCTTTGTTTAAAGCTTTTCTCCACAAAAAGTGCAATCATTCATTTCATAAATGTGAATGTTTGAATTTTAAAGTTTGGTCTTGCAACTTTGAATAAAAATTTGACACTAAATAATAATTTTAATAAACAAATTAGACAAAAAAAAAATAGAAAATTGAATAAAAATATCAAAATCATGCCCATAGGTACAAGTTGATAAGGATTGGTATGAAAATTGAAACGATATAATGTAATATCGTATTGGTGCCGTAAGGAGAAATCAAGCATTCCATTAAGGGGCGTTTGGATGGAACGTAGGATTCCTCCGGGAATGAAATCCTCATTCTTTCGTTTGGTTTGGCCGGGAATGTCATTTCTGATAATGTTTTATTATCAATAGTGAATTTTTTGGGATATATTACCGGGAATATCATTACCTCCATTCCCTTAGGTATTGTAACAGTATCGGCGTTTTAGACTAAAATGTCCTTAAATTTTTATTTTTTTTTTCCAAAAATATCATTCTTCTGTCATTGAATAATAAAAATTCTACGAAGGTTAAATTACAAATTTATCCTTAAATTATTTTAGATTTACAAAAAAAAAGTCTATGATTAAAATTTTATATGAAGTTCAGATATTAAAAATAAAATTTTACCCTTTCATTACACCTTTTTTATATTTTTAATTTTGTAAAAAAAATTATATAAATATTATGAATTTAAATTTTTTAAAGAAAATATATAAATATTTTCCAATTTGTAATATTATACAAATATATAATAAGGACAATTTGGTCAAATATACATTCCAATAATCTTTTATTCCTTTAACCAAACACGGTTATCTTACATTCTGGCTAAATCAACCAAATATAAAATATAACATTCCCAGTAATCCTATTCCCTGATAATCTTTTATTCCACTGGTAATCTTACATTCCGTGAACCAAACGCACCCTAAATATATTTGCAGTAAAGCAAGTATTATAATAAGGGTAAACTACATGGGAGACCACCAAACTATGGTTAAAAGTCAATATGACCACCAAACTTTTTTTTGAATTAATCGGACTACCAAACTTTTTAATTGATTCAATCAGACCATCGCGCCGTTAATTTTTAACAAATGTGGTGACGTGTCCGTTAATAAATTGGCATAATTATATATTTGGTCCTTAATATTTACATATTCTATCAATTTAGTCACTATTTTAATTCAATTAAATAAATTTAACTATCCAATTAAAACATGACACGTGTCAATATATGATTGAAAGATTTTATTTATGAATTTCAAATTATTTAATTAAATAATTTGTCTATCCAATCAGGTGATGACATGTGTCACCACCCAATTGAAATGAAAAATAAATAGACGTTTGAATCAATAGTTATGCCAATTTATTAACGGACACATCACCACATCTGTTAAAAATTAACGGGTCTGATTGAATCAATTAAAAAGTTTGGTGGACACATTGACTTTCGACCATAGTTTGGTGGTCTCCCTTGTAGTTTACCCTTATAATAATGTTTGAGATTCAACAAAATGAAATTGATCCCTCCATGTAAGTTTCTAAATTTGGTATCATGCACTTCGACGACGACGACCTCATTAGGCATCCTGAGCCGTCTGAAGCGTCGGTATATGGCCGTGATCGGAGAAGTCGATCTTGTTTAGTCTCAGACAGCAAAATACTTGCTCCGGGAGTTCCTCTTGTTTTTGTGCCTGTCAATCCAAGGCAAAGATCATTAACCCAAAGTTAAGCATCGATGTTTTGAGCTAACTTTACTGTATTTTAAAGTATAATTTCCTTTCGGTTTTTGGTTATTTTGTAATTTTATTGGTGATCAGGAAATCGAAAGTAGGCCTGTAAACGAACCGAACGCACACGAACGGAGGTATGTTCATGTTCGTTCATTTAATAAATAAAAGAACATAAACGAACACGAACATAAACGAACAATTTTTTTTGTTCATGTTCGTTTATTAAGGAATATAACTTGTTCATGTTCGTTCATTTAATAAATAAACGAACATAAGCGTCGGAGACCCTAAGCGAACACGAACATAATCGCTCGACTCGAGCTCGAAAACTTTCAAAGTCAGCTACTCGAAAACTCGCGGGCTTAAAATTATCAAGCTCGACTCAAAATATAATATTGAAACTCGACTCAAACTCAAAAAAAAATTTAAGAGCTCGATTAAAACTCGAGACTCAAGCTCGATTGAAGCTCGATTCTGAGCTCGATTCAAGCTCGGTTCTGAGCTCGATTCAAGCTCAACATTGCCCAAAACGCAAAGATGCTTAAACCTATTCTCCCCCCATCTTCTTTTATATAAGTTACCAACCCTGAGCTGCTTGTTTGCTACTGATGTGAGATTGCATAACGTTCCTCCACTTTCTTTCTTCCTCTCTCCTTCAACAACAGTCGAGATGAACACAGATTGTATTTCGTGTGATTGCAGACCTTAATCCTTGGGGATCAAACAAACATGTCCTTAGTTTCGTGCTATGTAGAAGTTGAAAATTGGGAGATGAGAGAAGTAGGTTGGTTTATTGTTCACACCAACTCATACATCAAAAACCATTCTTTCTCAGCTGGCTAAACTTCCATATCCGGATGGCGCACAAAATTTTGTTTGATGAAACGCGTTAAAGAACTTCTCAACCTATGGAATAAGGCCTCACCATTATTGGGTTCTTGAGTTCAAAGTAAGTTGACTTGAGTTGCTGGTTGATCGCTATTTACTTGTAAATTCGAATACTCCATTATATATGAAAGAAAAGAAGATTATTTGAGTAGAAGAAATGGTGCTTAATACTTAACATCCCTTCTGGAATCCATCATGTTGAGTTAATCGATTGACGGAATTGGCCAAGAGGGGGTGAATTGGCAATTAAAAGTTTGGTGGAAACTTTTGCAGAAAATTGAAAGTAATTGCACAGTGATTTAGAGTGGTTCGACTTTCCCAATCAAAGTCTACGTCCACTACCTTAGCTATCCACACTAAGGATTTTCCAACAAATTCACTAATTTGTTCTTTCTTTTGAGGCCAAAGAGATAACCTTACAACACCCTCAAGAATATATCCCAATTCTTGAGAACACTCTTTCCCAAAGAGAAGATTACAAATTTGCAAACTTACAAGGAAAACCTCACAAGGTAAGATGTTTGCACAATTCTAGAACAAGAAAAGAACACTCAAAGATAATTACAAATGAGCACAAATGGTGTTCTTGAAAGCAAAATGAATATTGAAAGGAAAATTGGCTTGATTTGCACAAACTTGGTGTTTGATGCTTTCTCTATTGTTTCTCTATGATTTCTTGTTGATCAAGGGCTTCAGAACTTGTTTAAATACACCTTGAATCACTTATGAACGTTGGGGATGATTAGTGAAGATTATATAGCCGTTTTAGTGTGAAAACAATTAATAAAACAGCTTGGAGCATGGGGGGGAATCGGTTCCCCCTCATAGGGAATCAGTTCCCTAAGTGTAAAATTCAAATATTTCGACCGTTGAACAGGGGGGAATCGGTACCCCCTATGGGGGAATCGGTTCCCTCCGAGCATTCTGGAAATCTCGATTCAAGGGGGAATCGGTACCCCCTTGTGGGAGAATCGATTCCCTCTGAGCAATCTGGAATTTTTGGCTTTGAAATGGTTCGAAATACTTTGAAAGATTATTTTGAAATTGTTTTAAGATTAAAACTTAATTTTACACTTAAGTAAGGATTAAAAATGATTTTTGAAATATTTGGAGTAATGTTTTGATATTCGAATAATTATATCGAATATACTTAGAAAATCATTTGGAAAATCTTAAAATTCATTTAACTTAATTTGTTATATCGAAATATCAAAATGTTTTCAACAATCTCCCCCTTTTTGATATAACAAAACATTTTAGTAATTTTAAGATTTTGAAATCAAGTTTTGAAATTATTCCCCCTTACTTTAACACTTCTCCCATTTATCATTTTAAAAACACACACTTCTCCCCTTTTTTGTTAAATCAAAAAGATTCAAAGAAACGTGAAAATCATTTAGCCAATTGATTAGGTATAGGTATGCATAAGCTGCTAAGATCACAATCAAGAGAAACGTTAGCCATTAGTTCCATAATCAATATTCATAAACAATGTGATATGACAAAATTGGTCATATTGCTAATAATGATGTAAATGATGCAATAATGAATAAATCACACCAAACATATAAGTTCATACCATCCATAAATCCAAACAAATTCACAATCAATCAATTCACAAATTCAAACATTCCAAAATATTCAAAATGTTAAAAACAATAAGTTTGGAGTTCAAAGTAAAACATTTCATCACATATCCGGATCATGAGGAGGAAAACGAGCTCGCATAGCGGCCATTTCGTTAGTGAGGTCATTAATACGTGCGTTGGTTGCTTCATTATTTGCACGTATTTCCTGAAGAATTTCTAATTGTTGAGCTCCCATTGTGGATAAATGGGACTCTATAGATGTAAAGCGCGAATCCATAGTCGCATATCGGAAATCAAATGTCTCCATAAAGGATTGAAAATATGGAGGCATTTGAGTCGATTGTTGTGCGTGCTCCTCGGGTTGCTCAGGCTCATCTTCGGCTTCATCGATATCCCTCATTAATTGTTCAAACTCTGGATCTTCGTCA